ACTCTTTGCTTACCATACTCCAGGCCCACTGGGATTTTTTTCTCTTGTTCTCTCTGCCCACAAAGATGAACCTTAGGGCCACCATCCAAGTATCCATTCAAAAGTCACCCCTCAGAACTAGCTAAAGTTATGACTCTCACTTGTGAGGATGAGGCAGGAAGATCAAAAGTCTGAAGCCAGCCTGGGTGATTTAGCAAGACCCTGTCTCAAAATCTAATTTTAGTGTTGTATAAAAGTAAAGAAGGTTAGCATTCTCCTCTAGAAGGATTGAGAGGCCYGTGGCCTGACAACGTGCATATAGTCACAGCATTGCCACTTAGGCGTCTAACTGCCATTGTTCCAACAGATGAATGGATAAAGAAAATATGGTACACTGACACAATGAAGTTTTACTGAGCCATGACAAATGAAATTATGACCTTTGCTAGTAAATGGATAGAACTGGAGAACATCCTGCTAAGTGAAATTAGCCAGACTCAGGAAGTCAAGGATCAAGGGTCATATGCAGAAGCTAGAGCAAAATAAGAAAAAAAAAGGGGGGGTGGGACGTGGATCTCACGAAAATAGAAGGGAGATCAGTGATGTAGAGGAAGGGGATGGAAGAAGAGGGATAAGAAAAGGGAGGAACCATGGAATGAAAATGACCAAATGATGTGATGTACAGTCATGAATATGCCAGTGAATTTTACCTATGTGTATCTCTATTATTTATTAAAAAAATAAATAAATACATAGAAGAACAGTAGAGGAGAGTAAGGGGAAATGGGGGAGGAGGGGAGCAACAGGAAGTACCAYGGACTGAAATAGAGCAAATTATATTCCCGTGCACATATGATGTCAAAATGAACCCCACTATTATGCATAACTATACTGCACTCATAAAAGCATTTTTAAAAACTAATAATTTTTAGAAAGGGCTGGGGGCCACACATAGTGGTACAGGCCTGCAACCCCAGCAAGTGCGTCAGCCTGCATTCTTTTGTTTGCTTGTTATTTATTTAAACTCTGTCACACCAGAAGACAAACTTCAGGGCTGGGTGGGTAGCAGAGTAGTAAAGGGCATGCTCAGCATGCCTGAGGCCCTGGTTCCACCCTCAGTGACACACACACACATAAAGAAGATAAAACTTCATTGGGCCACCAGTCTTGGCTACTTTATTCTTGGTTATATCCCTAGTACCTACAACAGCATAGTCAGTGCTTAATATGCCAATCAATTTAAAGATGAAATTGTAACTAATACTAGCTGGGCACATTGGCACACACCTATAACCCCTGCAATTTGGGAGTCTGAGGCAGGAGGATTGCAAGTTTAAGGCCAGCCAGGGCAATTTAGTAAGATCCTGTCTCAAAAAATTTTAAAAAGGACCACTGCTCAGTGGTAGAGCACACCTGGGTTTCATCCCCAGTAACAAGGGTAGAAAATAATACTTCAACAAAGTCCATACTAAGTGCTAGGTGCTGTTCGGAGCATCAAAAAGTATTACTTAATTTAATCCTCCAACAGCTCCATGAGGGAGTTGCTGTTATTTTATAGATGGGGAATTCAGACCTGGAGAGGTTAAATTATTTGCTGAAGATTACAAAGCTCATGACGGATGAATCAAGATCCAAACCCAGATAGTCTCAGCACAAAGTCCATGCTCTAATTAAGAGCTACACTTCATATTTGCTGAGTGTCAAATAACTACTTGGTCAGCACGCTTGGCAGCTGTTCCCTGCAGGCAGGGCTGAAGAGAGAGTAGCCCTGTCATGGAAGGGTTGCCCATACAGTGAGCATGGTGAAGGACAGGCTGCTGGGTTTCCACCGTGTGGTACCCAGAAAGGATTCTGCAAGGATGCACAGTTTGATGAAATGACAAGGATAGGGTTAGAATTCTGGAGTATTGGTTTTAGGTGTTATGAGACACCTGGGTCAGTCAACTGATATTTGATGAGTTTACACTTTGTGTAGGGCACCAATCTATATACTGTGAGGGATGCAAGATGAATCAAATGGAGATGCTAGCCTCAGAGAGCTTGAAGTCATGTGCAAATACATGGACCTGAAATAAGAGAAGAAAGTGACAGGCACCATAAGGAAATGTACAAACTGCTTGGAACTTCAAAGGAATTACCTAGTCCCTAGGGGCCACTGCTACCCAACCATAAGAGGAGGCCAGCTACATAATCTCCAAGGCCCTCTCTTTCTCACAGTGTGGTTCAGGAGCAACATAGAGACCAAGTTTTTTTTTTTCTGGTTAATAGCTCAAGTTCATGGCCACTCAGGTATTCTCCAACCTACTGTGGGAACAATCCAAGTTTCTTTCTTTTTTTGCAATGCTAGATATTGAACCCAATGCCTCATGCATGCTAGGCACATGCTCTACCACTGAGCTACAGCCTCAGCCCCTCCAGTTCCTTTGTGCAATATCTTACAACAGAAGAAGGGCAGTAACGCTCCCACTTAAATACAGCCAGATGCAGGAACAAGCCATGTTCTTCTCGCCTGTATTTGTTTTTATGATTGAACCCAGAGATTGAACCCAGGGGTGTTTAACCACTGAGTCCATCTCTAGTCCTTTTTATTTGTTAAAATGAGACATGGCTTTGCTAAGTTGCTAAGGGCCTYGCTAAGTAGCTGAGACTAGCCTCAAACTTGCAATCCTCCTGCCTCAGCCTCCTGAGTTGCTCGGAATACATGCATGTATCACCTCACCTAGCTCTAACTGGATTTTAAACCCAAAAGCCCTCTTCCATCAAGGAAGGGCAACATGCTCTGTGAGCCTCTTGTTATAATACGGATATGGCAGAGTTAAACTGTGAGGTCCAACAGACTGTAAGCTCAAGGACAGTCATTGTACCTTATTTGTGTACAATTCCTACACTCTAACACAGTATCTGACTCATAACAGATCCTTAAAAAGTTTTGCTGAATTAAACTTGAACATGGCCAGTTCCAGAAATTCTCTAAAAGACACAGAACTTTCAACTAGTGTTTCCCAGAGTTTTGCTCTCCAGCTCTCAGCCCTTCCCAGGGAGACAGACTGCTATCACCCCAGTTCCCCAAGCCACCATCATCTCTCTAGGTAGCTGCAACAGTCAGTCAACTGATATCCCTGCCTCCACTGCTTCTCACAATCCTGAATAAAGATTTTTATTGTTATTTATTCATTTTATTTATTTGTTTGCTTATTTTTTTATTTATATTTTTGCAGTACTGGGGATTAAACCCAGGACCACACACATGCTAGGCAAGTACTCTACCACATTCCCAGACCCAGAACATTTTTTTAAAACTTACATCAGATATTTTTTCCCATATATTTTTACTGGTGCATTACAGTTGTTACATCAGATCTTAATACCTCTACTTAAAATATCCAATGGCATCTAACTGTATTTGGGATAAAATCCAAGTTCTTTATTGCTAACTACAAAATCTTTTTTCTTTTTTGTCCTGTGAGCTACAGATTCCTTTTTGGTCCTAGGGATTGCACCCAAGGGCACTCTACCACTGAACCACATCTCCATCCTTTTTCTTTTCTTTTCTTTTTTTGAACAGTTCTCACTAAGTTGCCCAGGCTGGCCTTGAATCTGTGATCCTTCTACCTTAGCCTCTTCGAATGGTGGCATTACAGGAAGGTGCAGAACTTAATGTTCTGGCCCCTACCCACCTTCATAGCGTTTACACTACTGAAATGATTTTGTCCAATTATTTGTTTACTCAATTATTATCTGTCCCTCCTTAGAATGTATCTCCAAGACAGTAAAGGATGTGTCTGTCTTCACCATTGAAACCCTGGTGCATAGAATTGTGCCTGACACAGAGTAAATGCTCACTATTGGATGAATGAATCTTCATCCACAGAAGCATCTTATATTTACAAAGGACCACTAACTTCACCAGGAAGCCATGAATGATACAATGGCCCTTGACAGCTGGTTCCTTTACTTATGATTCAGAGTCTTGTTTTAAATCCAAGGAAGCATTAGCATCTCTGGACACTTTAATGGCACAAGAGATCAGTTTTCACTTACAATCTAGAACCAGGAACTAGAGCCCAGTGGTTGTAGCAGGGAGCTAAGAACCAAGACACTGGGGTACAGAACYTCAAGACAAACTCTAACTTGCCTCCAGCTCCCTTACCAACACACTTGTGCCTCAGTTTACCTAGTGGTGGCAAGGCTAATTTCCTTAAGATCTGTGGCAAGAGACAATTAACAGATAGTTAGATTCTCAGAAAAAAGTGCTGCAAGCCACGTGTCCCATGATTCATAAAGGTCTTGATTTGTGGCCAACAGGGAGCCCCTTGGGCCTTCCCATGAGCCAATCTGACAGCAGGTACTGCCCAGACAAGTTCACACAACAGAAAGGGGGGCTGTAGGGCCTAAGGATGTTGGATGTCCAGAGCTCAGGGTCTTGGTTGCCAGGTTCATGAAAAATGAACACTGGGGGTGATGCAAAGAAGGTGGGAAGTGTGGTTTTGAGTCCCAAGCGGTTAAATTTGCAGCTTCACGTATGCAAGTCCCACACGCAGATGATACTTATGACTCCAATGTGCACCTTTCGGGGAGCGATGGAACGGGAAGCTCAAACTAGAGAGGAAGGGCGGCCCGGTAGCCAGACCTTGGCAGCATTTAGTTGGCGAAACACGGAGAGTCAGGATGCTGGGAGTGGGGCGCAGGTGAGAAAAGAGAGGGGGCACCGAGATCAGGGGAGAGGACAGGCAATGACAACCACGCGGGCGCGGAGGGGTGCGCGGCTCGGACACCTGTGGAGGCGACCCCCGTGCGAAGGTGAGGAAGGCAGGGGGGTGGTCCGCGGCGGGAGGCAGCGGCACCAGGAGGGGTGAGGAGGCCCAGGCTCGGGAGCCACACAGTCGGGGACCCGCCGATGGGTCCGAGCGGGGTCCGGGGCGCCCTCCGCGGCCCCTCCCCGGGAGACAAAGGGCCAGCGCCCCCAAGCCCCGGCGCGGCGCGGGCCCCGAGCTGCGGGCATGGGCCGGCCTCGCGCTTACCTGGGCCGCCCGACCCGGCCGGCTGGCGGGAGCTGCGGGTCCCGGGCGCGGAGCGCGGCGGCCTGTTCGGGGCGCGCTCAGCCGGAGCAGCCGCGGCGGCGGCGGCGGCGGCGGCGGCGGCAGCAGCAGCAGCAGCAGCAGCGGGAGCGGCCGCCTCAGCCTCCGCCTCCCGCTCCGTGAGTCACCGCGGCGGGGAGGGAGGGAGGTGCCAGGCCGCCGGGGGAGGGACCGGCGGAGGAGGCGGCATCTGGCTCCGCGCGGGCGGCGGAGGCGCGGCAACGGCAACGCCCCGCCAGGAGGCAGGCAACGGAGGCTGGACGGCGGGGCGGGACCTGCCGAGGGCGGGGCCGGGCATTGGTTCACTCTGCCCGAAGGGCGGGGATTCAACTTCGGGGTGGGGCCTGAGCGGCGCGCGGGGATGCTCATTGCGCTTCTCTGGGTTGCGGGCGTGGCCATAGGCATGGAGGCGGGGCCACGTGGTGGGCGGGCAGAGCAGGGTCGCGGGGCGTGGCTGAGTCCGCGCTGAGAGCAAAGGGGTGGAGCGGAAGGAGGTGGGCCGGGAAGGCGGAGCGGGGGCTCCAAGGAGGCGGAGGCGGCTTGAGGGAGGAGCCCAGGCAAGGATGGAGCGGGCGCTGCGGCAAAGCCACTCTGCCTGTCTCTGGCCGTTCCCTGAGCACAGTAGCCCATAAAAGTAATGGCCTCTCCTACGCACGGGTCTATGTTTAAAACCCAGAGCGGCCAGACAGGGCGGGGTGACGCCAGTTTACCCAGAACCCCAGAAAAATCTGAAATGGACTCTCAGGACGTSTAGGGGCGTGGTCTTCCCCATCGCCAAGCTGGGTGCGCTGCTACCTTGGAAGCAATTAGGCCGGCTCCTGAATTTGGGCCTGTCCAACCTGGGATCCAGAGAGCCCAGGGAGGGCCTCCGTCGGCCGGGTAAACCCAGAACATCGAGTGTACTGTAGGGCATTTTTCAGGGTTGGGGCAGGGGTCCGTGATTAAAGTATTCCTATAGAAGTCTGGCGCTATCTGGAGAGAGTACAGAGAGAAACAGCCCATTTTAGGCAAAAGGCGAATTGGTTTTAACACCTGTCTTCCTTTTAGAGGGACACGAATCTCATTTTCAACATTCTGACTTACCAATTACATCGTGTAGCACTAACCCCCGTTCAGAAGCCATCCTGCCCGGCTTCCCCACCTCCTTTCTTTTCACTTCGTTCTTCCACCTTCCTTTTTCACTTTCTTCCTCTTTCACCAACTTTCTTCCTCTTTCATTAACTTTTCTATGCAAGAATATATAAATTTTTTTATCTCCACTGTTTATAGCCTGAAATGTCTATATTCCTCTTTTGATTTCACGACTGTATTTTAGTCACAACTGGAAAATATTTTCGTTTAATAAAAGTCGCAAGATTGGGCTGGGGTTGTGGCTCAGCGGTAGAGCACTCGCCTAGCATGTTCGAGGCCCTGGGTTCCATCCTCAGCACCACATAAAAATAATTAAATAAAATAAAGGTATTGTGTCCAACTACAACTGAAAACTAAAATATTTTTTTTAAAAGTCATGAGATTACAAACCCGTTAMGGGCATATATATATGTCTTATTAGTGTCTGCATCTCCATTAGTGTCCAGAATGCCCATAGCCAGGGCTCAACAAATATTTGCCAACACAGTATGCTAGTGGGTCCATCAGGGAAAGACATAGATTTGTCCAGCTTGGGTCACGTGTATGTATGTATGTATGTATGTATGTATGTATGATTTATTGTTTGTTTATTTATTTATTTAGGGTGGGTTAGAAATCTGTAATTGACTGCCTCATGAGTACCCTGGGGTGAGGAGGAGCAATTCCCCAAGGGTGAGAGATGTGCTGGACTGCCAGAACCAATAGCTGTTCCCTATTTCCTAAGCCTTTCATGTCTCACTTTTAAGACTGTACAGATGGGTGGAACCTAAATTAATCCTGAAGTAATAGTGCTACCTATTTTTTTTTTAGTTGTAGTTGGACACAATACCTTTATTTTATTTATTTATTTTTATGTGGTGCTGAGGATCAAACCCAGCACCTCGCACATGCTAGGCAAGCATCTACTGCTGAACCACAACCTCAGCCCCCTGCAGTTTTGAAATATAAATAATATTCACAATACGTGTGAAACTTTTGGGAAAAAAAAATTGTCCACACTTACCTTTCATTTTATGCATTTCTTTCCCACCTTTATCCTTAATTAGAAATGAGGGGAAGTTTTCTCCCTCCCATTGCATCAAAAACTTCAGAGTATGATCTCAAGAATCTTAGGAGTAGGCTGGGCAGTGGCTCAGTGACAGGGCACATGCTTAGCATGCTTGAAACTGGGTTCAACCTCAACACCTACCCCCTGCCCAAAAAAAGTAGAATCATCATCCACCCACCACATGGAATTTTTACTAGAGAGAAATTGAGTCCAATATTTAGAAGAAGAGAGGAAAACGGAAAAGAGACCTCAACAAAATATGTGTTCCTCAGTTTGAGATCTCATGCCAACTCCGATCACAGCATTCCACATTTTATAGGTCCGAAAATTGACCTTTCTCTAGGGTCCCACTTCATTAACTGGCACCACTGTCTACCCAGGTGCTTAAACCAGAAACTTAAAGAGCATCCTTTATACCACTCTTTCCTTTATCTCTCATTTCCAGTTCATGCTGTTCCTACCCCTAAAGCATAGCATACATAGTACTCATTGAATTGAACTCACAGGTGCTATATTACTGAATTCAATCTCCAGCCTTTTTTTATTATTTGTTTTGAGACAGAGTCTCCTTAAGTTGCCCACACTGGTCTCTAACCTACAATCCTACTGTCTCAGCCACTCACGAAGCTTAGATTACAAGTGCATGCCTCCATACTTGGTCTATCCATACTTTGATCTCCTTTCTTCCTACCATCACCTCTTCCTCAGTTTATTTGTTTGTTGTTATGGAGGTCTCAATATTTGTGTAAGGCTGTCCTGGAATTCCTGGACACAAGTAGTCCTCCTGCCTCACCCTCCCAGTAGCTGGGACCAATGAGCATATAGCTGCACCTGGCCTATGCACCTGGCCTACTACCTAGTTCATATTCTCTCTTGTGGGAAGCCATTCTGACACGTGATTGGGTGACTCCCRTTCAGGGCCTGAGGCACTTTGGCTATGTCAAAGTTTTTCCGACTCTTTCCTGATGAGAGAGCCCATCGGTGTGGGGGTGTGCCTGACCCCGGAGACCCAATCACTGACCCTGACTTTGGAGTGCAGCCCCCCCTCAACCTTCATTGGATGGAATTCTCCCCTGAATCTCTTGTTCCCCAATAAAAGGCTACTCCAGGCGTGTTCGCTCTCTCTCTCTCCTGCTAGCCCTGAGTAATCCTTGCTGCCCTGCTGGGCGGCTAGAGGAGCGAACCAGAGAGGTGAGCCATCTCAGACCTAGCAAT